AGTAGTTACCATCACGCTTTTTCATGGCCTGTGGGAAATAAGCTGGTGAGTTTTAAGTGCAGAATCTAGTGATCTTAAATGATCTGTGGTGAGACACTTGGGGTTTTGAGGGTGGGGTGTGTGTGTGCCTGTTGGAAGACTGATCTGTCCTTAGTGTATTAGTTCTGTGGATATTTAGAGGGTAACACTTTCCATGGGGCTACCAGACCAGCACATTTCACCAGCATTTGAATGCCCTAAAAATCTAGAAGTAAATACAACAAGTTTCAGTACTTACACAGGACTAGCAAGGCTACCAGCTCTATGAACAGCACTGTGTGTGCACAATGTGAGCAAACCAGACATCATATAGGCAGGGAGCCCTGGGAGAAACCAAGAATGGATTTGGTGATAAAAAGAAGCGCACACACATATCTCCATGTAGTGGCCCCTGCTATCTGTTATTGGCAGCCTTTTGGTCACTTTTAAATTATTATTTAAACAATGTGTTTTTTTTTCCCAATGACAAATATTTATAGTGACAAAATGTTTTGAGATTCTGGGTTGAAACACAAAGAGGGAAGAAATACATCTTGAAAAACAAAGGTAGATAAACATGAATCATTTTGTGAAGAGCTCTCAATCTATGGATGTTTTTATACTGCACTCATCTTCATAGGCTCTGTGACTATAAATAAATACCACACTACCTGGGAATAATATTATCAAGACGTATAAGAATAACTTCTACAGTGGCATTAATTACAGCTGTGGATCCTCATGACTGTAAAGAGACTGCCATCTGCAGGAGAGAAGAAAATCCCTCCGCAGAACTCCAGCATAATAAGATTAATGAAGCCAATGAAGGGATACAAAGAGAGGGACGATGTGGTCAGAGTAATGAACAAGAAAGATTATCCCAAGAGAAGCATATTGAATGGGCTTGAGCAGTCAATTCTTCCTGTATAGCATCTCTAAATAAGGCCTTTCCTCTACATCCAGACTGCTAGACTCCAGGCTGCTATCTTATGTCTCAACTACTATGACATCCTCCTGTCTAGCCCTGACAAATGCAGTCTTGCCCTGCTGCAATAATCATTCTCCTAGCTCATCACTTTAACCATGTTACCCTTCTGTTTGTATCTTTTCATTGGGCTCCCTTTTTTCATCACTTCAAATAGCAATTACTTGTCTTCACTTTAAAGGCCTTACATGACCTATCCTCAGGCCACTTGTCATCTCTCACACTACTAAAATATGGACGGCCATCTGTGATCAGCCAATGATGCCTACTGCCAATGATGCCAACTGTCATCACCCATTTGTTAATTTTCAATCAAGCACCTTTGTGTTTTCCTCCCATGCTTCCCCTCTCTTAGGAGGAGCTCCCTGTAAAAGTCCACAAAGCTACCCCATTATCATCCTTCATAATTCCCTTTAATACTCTCCTTTGCCATCATGTCTACAAAAACTTGACAACATCTCAGCAGTGGATGTGCTGAAACCACTGCCTGTCATGCTGATAAATAGCATCCCATTGTTTCCCCGTGTTTCTCCATTTGTCTGTCTTCACCTGTTATCTCTTTTCTTATGCTTAGATTGTAAACCCTTTGGGGGCAGGGACCATGTTTTTGCTATGTATTTGTAGGATGCCTACCATAATGAGCGCCTGGGTCCATGGTTGGGGTTTTTAGGTGCTACCTCAATAAAATCACGTAATAAATAATTATTAAAACTAAAGCATATGTTTTTAACAGTGAGGGTGATTAAAAACTGGAACAAGCTACCAAGAAAAGTGGTGGATTCTCCATCTCTTGATATCTTCAAATCAAGACTCAATACCTTTCTGGAAGATATGCTTTGGCCAAATACAAGTTAATGGGCTCAGTACAGAGGTAACAGGGTGAAATTTTATGGTTTGAGATAGATAGAATGTCAGATTAGATGACCTAATGGTCCCTGCTGGCCTTAAAATCTATGATTCAGTGAATGAATCTATGAATTCTTTCCTGGTGCTAAGACTGGCAGTGCAAGGGAGAGAGACTCCTTAGTTCATCCGCAGCACTGAGAGACAAAATTAAATTTATTTTGGGTGGTAGTGAACATAGCTTATAAGGGGTATGCCATCTAATCAGGAAACAAAAAGAATACCATGTGAGTTATCCAGTCACCAAACAGACCAATCATATTGAAAGAATAAGAGAGTTAAACATGTCTAACTTGGAGTGAGGATCACAGGCATGATATAGTATGTTTGCACCAGATAAATAAAATCAACAAGCAGAATGAAGGATTTGTTCATGGCTGTCTCGGGAGCGGGTGGGGGGTAATAACTGAAGTGTGATGAAATTGAAAAAAAATAATTTTCAGGTTAGAATTGAGCAACTTGTTTTTCCCCCTGCAAAAGTAAGATCTATGTGATCCTCCACAGACATGGTTAAAGCCTCCTCTCTTGAGTTACAATATTTGAAGCTGAACTAGATCTACTATTCAGAAGAATCATGTCCTGGAATTCTGGTCACCCGATGTGACCGAACAGGTCTTTTAATTTATATAGTTCTGTGATATTCCTGAAGCTCCCAGTTTCACATGGTCATCTGTTACACATTTCACAACTGGACTGATGGAGCTAGTGAGTTCTTCCTGGTGTATGTCAGTAGTACTTTGATGTTGACACTAACTTATTTTTGCATGTTACTTCCTCAGACACTTTCCAGTTATTGTGTGTTCAGTTTCCTAATGGAACTCTAAACAAAAGCAAAACAAAAAAAAGTAAACAAAATACACTGAGCCTATGTTATCTCATATTGACAGAAACAATGTTCTTTCTGGTGATGTCTCTTCATTTTAGCCAGACAACCACTTTCTTGTGGATCCAGAATTGTTCCCATGAACAGGCATAATGGGTATACATTTTCAATCCATACAGGATGCACAGTTGTCATAGTTTTCATAAAACTCAATCCTAGAAAATAAAGCATCATTTCATTATGTCCTGACATTTGCGTTCCGTATGTGTATTCAGGGCCCATTCACCAGCTTCCCTGGGGAAAGTAATCTATATCTTCCCTACAACTGGTTCAGATTACTTTCACCTCCATACCAGTTCAGCTGTGCCAACCATGGCATTGTGGGACCAGGTCCAATCCTCTACCTCTGCTTGCCCACTCCCTCCCTGTCCTGGGCACAATGGGGATCAGCAGCCCCACAAAGGTTACTATTGACCCTGTGCTTCTATTTACAACACAGGCAGCCAGTGTAAAAGAGTAAGGGAGTGACATAGGATTTTCCTCTACAGGGGCTCTCAGGATGGGTCATAATCTGTCCCTAAATTATCAAAATTTACCAGTCCACTCCCTGTGTTAAGGAGAGCGGAGCCATCCTCCCAATACCAGCCAATCCTCTCAGATTTATATGATAATCCAGTCCAGTAATATTGTATATTGTCTCTTGGTATATGTTTCTATGAGGAAATAATTATTTAATAATTATTAAAACAACCTCAAGTTCTTATCTTATCTTTCACAATTGTGTGACTTAAAAAAACACCCTAATGGAAATCAATGACAGGAGATAATCCACAGGAAATGGCTTCGCATTTGCAGGAGAAATTTAAGAGTGACTGCTGTAGGACTAAGAGATTTTGCCCATCTAGAAATATAAGAATATTCTACCTAAATACAAGGATGGAAATCCCTATGAACTCAAGTCTTAATCCTTTAGAAATATGAGAGATTCTGATATATCTGACATCAAATATAATTCTGTTTATTTGGGAAAACTGACAACAAATACTAATTAATATATTGATGGTTTATTTTTACTGTAATAAAACCATTGGAATTAGAGCTGGAAAAGCTCCTGCATATGCTCAGAGTCTAACCAATTGCCATATGTGAGTTCGGGAAGGAATTTTTCCCCAGGTGAGACTGGCAGTGACCTTGGGGATTTTTCACCTTCCTCTGCAGTGTGGGGTGCTGGTCCCTTGGTAGGATCTATTCCCTGCCGTTTCAAGGGCCTCAGGCACTGCTGCACCTCATTTCCTCCTATTCTCTGCCCGAGGCACATAGTAGGTTAGTCTCTCAAGGGCTGTAATACTTTGGTCTAATTTCAGTTGTTGGGTTAATGTGTGAGTGCTGTGTGGTATTGCTGGCCTGAGATATGCAGGAGGATGGTGTAGATTATCTGGTGGTCCATTCTTGCTTTAAACTCTATGAGTCTAAAAAGCCAATGCATGACAGATTTATTTATTGTGTAATTTAGAAAGTACTCTCCATACAAAGTCTCCAAATGCATGTGCTCCAGTTAATAGAAGATGTGGGTTTTAAGCAAAAGGAAAAAATATAAATTACACTTCAAACTACCGAACTCCCTTTTGAGCAACAGCCTGAAGAAAGAGATGGGCCCAGCCCTATACACTAAATATCAACAAATTCTGGTTTTGTTGAACCAGCATGAGAAGTGAATTACAGAGTTCAGGAACTTCCACTAGGAACATCCTGCCTCCCTCCAGACATTTTAACCTCTAGCTCCTTAACTGGCCTCAACTGCTTGTGATGGTCCATAGCAGACGAAGGTGGCTATAAAGAGCTAGGAACATCCCCACTTCATTTTTGCTCTCTCTTTTCAACCTGCTTTTCCAGACTGGTAATAGAACCAGTGCAGAGCAGAACTGGCTAAAAAAGGACTGGCTGAGAAGGGTGAGATGAGGAACTGTTTGTGTTTGTTTTACTTATCTTTGAACAATAAACCTACTTAAAGGAAACTGGGGGGGGGGAGGCAGTGTATGCTTGGAAACTGGGGAGAATCCCTCCCTTGTGACATATGGTGTAGAATGTGGGCACTTTGATTGTGCCCTGATATAAGGGGAGCGTGAGGTGGATCTTTGGTGCCCAGTGACGAGGGGTAAAGGCGAGATGGCAGGATCCCACGGTCCATCCTTCTGTGCAGGAAGGAACCTGCAAATGTGGGATCCAGTGAAGAGAAAGATGAGCCTCATTTGATGGAGAGGATAAGGGAAAATGGAGGTGGTGATGCACCTGTTAGTAACAAAGGAGCAGCAGCAGATGGCCATGATACAGCAGCAACAAGAACAACAACAGCAGACTCAGGTTCTGCTCATGCAATTGATGGAGAATCAGCAGAAGTCACAATTTGCCACATGACAGCGTTGGTTAGAAATCCACTTTCAATAACAAGAGATGTTACAGAAATGGCTGGCCCAAAGGATGCCAGGCAACAGAGTCAGTGATAGAACCATGGGCTAGTTGGACCTGGGCCTAGCAAAACTGTGATGAGAAGATGACTCAGAGGCCTTACTCCTAATATATGAGAAAGTGGTGAGGGCACTGAGCTGGGAGGAGTCAACATGAATGCCCCACCTAGCACTGATACTGAGAGGCCAGGCAAAGGCAGTTTACTGAGCAGTAAGTGATGAACAGGCGAGTCCCTATTTGGCAGTGACAGCAGTCATTCTAGACCAACTAGGGTTGACTCCAGAGGCATTCAGACACCAATTTTGAGTGGGGCACAACCAAGGGTAGTGTCTCAGAAATTATGGGACCTTGTGGCTCAGACCCAACTCAGTAGAGAGAATCGTGGGACAAACTGTCTTGGAGTAGTTCTTAAAACGTCTACCCCTGGGAGCCCAGAGCTTGGTAAGGCGCTTTCAGCCACCCTCAGTTGAGGAAGCTTTTGAATGAGCAGAGGCCTTCTTTGAGTCCAAAAAGAGGTAGATGAACAGCTGGGGCAATATGGCAGAGGGTGACCCAGGGAAGTTCCCACAGGGAAAAGACCTCATGTGGCCAAAACTTGGGGGATACACAAGAGTTACAGGGGTCCCAGGTAATTCCACATCTTACTGGAAATACTTGTGGGGATGGTGAGGGGGCCACGTGGTGTGTTTTAATTGTGACCAGCCTGGGCACATTAGATGAGAATGTCCAGTCATGAAGTGTGTTCTCCGAAACGGTTACTTGAGCAGGACCAGGAGCCAGGGTCTACTCAGAAAGTTATGGCAGGGCTTGTGGAAACCAAAGTCTCAATCCTAACAGGGTACTACAGAGCCCCAGACTGGCTTCCAATTAAGCAAGGTAGTGTGGGGACCCAGACAGCGCCACGCCAACGAGAAGAAGCCCAGATAAGGGGCTATGGGTGGAAGCAGGGCTCCAGAGCAGGTAGGGATTCAGGGAATACCTGTTTTATGGGTCTGTCCTGGGCACCGGGGAGCTTGCAGAATGATTACAAGTGGTGGTGTGATAAATAAAGTGTGTGTGTGGGGGGAGCTCCCTTTTGCGTACACCCACCCAGCCAGTTAGCTATAAAGTCCCTCTCGGTGGCTGCTTGCTTTACCTGTAAAGGATTAAAACTCCCCAGGTAAAGAAAAGGGAGTGGGCACCTGACAAAAAGAGCCAATGGGAAGGCTAGAACTGTTTAAAATGGGAAAAAAGCATTCCCTTTGTCTCTCCGTTGTTCTCTCTGGGCTAGAGGGACAGAGCAGCAATCCTATGAGCAGCTTTAAGCCAGGTATGATCATAAATCATCAGATCATACCTAGAACTACTTATCTGAAATGCCAAATGTGTAAGATCAGAATGTTTAGCTAGACATGATCAGGTTTATTTCTGTTTATTTTTTAAGGCTTGTGGATCTCCTCTGTGCTAACCCGAGAGGGCTTTTGTTTGCTTGTAACCTTTAAGTTGAACCCCCAAGAAAGCGATTCCAAAAATTAAGCACCCAAAATAGCTCTTTTAAAATCTAGCAAAAGCCTCAGTTCCAGATGTATTTTCTTCCTTTTTGTTTTTAATAAAATTTACCTTTTTTAAGAACAGGATTGGATTTTTGGTGTCCTAAGAGGTTTGTGCATGTGGGTTGATTAGCTGATAGAAAACAAAGGAAACTAGCTGTGGCTTTCTCAGCTCTTCCCCGGAGGGGTGTGTGTGAAGGGGCTTGAGGGTACCCCACAGGGAGGAATTCCCAAGTGTTCCTTCCTGGGTCCAAGGGTGTTTTTTTTCCTTTTGCATTTGGGTGGTGGCAGCATTTCCCAAGGTCAAAGAAAAGCTGTAATCTTGGGGGTTTAATACAAACCTGGAGTGGCCAGTATTAATTTTTAGAATCCTTGCGGGCCCCCACCTTCTGCACTCAGAGTGACAGAGTGGAGATTCAGCCTTGACAGGTGGAAAGCAAGTTACAGTACCTCAAACATGAGAAAGGGCAACTGGTGAGAGATCTTTGTCTCACTCAGGAGGAAAGAGGTCCTCCAAGTCCAGGCGGAGAAAATGAGACCGTGTATTGACTGTGCCCGGTGAGGCTAACTGTGTGACCCTGATCCCATTAAATAGGGCTCAGAAGGACAAGGATTAGAGATTTGTTCCAGTTAGATTGTATTTGGGTCTATGGGACTTCAGGAACCCTCTGTGATATGTCTGAGTTTCTGTGTAATGTTAAATGTTTTATGGAATGCTTGTGTTTTGGTAAATGAGTGCTGGGAATGTTTTGATTGGTTTGGGAAAATTTGGGATCCACTTTGGATGGAAGGCCCTGGAGTATTAGGAATGTTTTCTGAAATTTGTCTGTGATAAATATATTTTGCCTTGGGAGGGGTTGTAGGCCTTGCTGGAGCCCTAGGCATAAGAGTGTGAACCACAGGCTGTGAACCAGAGTAGGCCTGGTCTTGGCAAAACAACACCACCCCATTAGGTACTGGCTAACCAAATACGCGCATTCCTGACCAGAGAGGATGACACAAGAACACCCAGAGTTCTCAAGTTCTACATAAACAGATTCTTAAGAGATGGTACAGGAACACGCTGACCCCTCGAAGATAAGGAGGAGATAATAGGATAATGGATAAGGATGTTTTGTTTGAATTAGCAGGTACAAGGAGAAGGGTGGTAACTAGCAATGTCTGGAGTGTGATACAGAACTTATTTGTATCAGTGTATAAAAGGAGAAGACATAGGCGGGGCACCTATTTCCAGCATGGGGGCAGAGTACTGGTGCACTGACTGAGCTGGTTCCAGTCTCACAGGCACACATGTTAGTGTACCTGAAGCTCCTATGGGGGGCTAGTACCATGTTTTGTCAACAATAAACCTGGGAAGCACCTTCACCACCAAACAAAGCCTGTGGTCTTGCTTATGAATAACATCAAGGTCTGCTGAATCAACACACTCCACTCTCTGCTAGTGCAGCTGACATTGGAGGGCCAAAAACAGCAACACCGGCAACAGTAACAACATTCCATAGCACTAGCAACAACAGGGCTCAGAGTAGCCCCAGGAGGCATTTCACAGGTCAAAAGAGGGGAGAGGTGTTACAAGGTAAGTAGACCAGACTCAGTCCCTGTGTCAGGGCAGGGAGCCCAAGTGAGCCAATTAAAGGGGGCAGGGCTGCAGTTGAGGCTATAAAAACCTGCCAGAAGGCAGGAAGAGGAGATGGGTGTGGAATGGGGGCTTTAAATTCTCAATTGACAAAACTAAAGGACTAAAATTTCCTTTAGTTTTGTCAATTGATAATTTTTTTAAAAAGATTGTAAATATGGACAGAAAATAAGTACAATTAAAAGCTTCAATTTTTTAGGTGTGATACTCGATAGCAAGCTCACTTGGAAGGACCAAATTCAAAATATTAGAGATAAGTGTAAAGCACAAACCACTTACTTAAAAGTATTTCTGGAACTTCCTGATGTTCACATAAGAAAGCAGTGGTAATGCCATTCAAAACACTAATAAGACCAGTGATTGAATGTAGGTGCCAGGCTTTCAGTTTGGCTTCAAAAATGAATTTGAGAAAGCTTGACTCACTCCAAACTCAGGTGTTGAGAAATGCATGTGGTGCCTTCATCACAATGCTACTGTGTGTACTGAAGATGGCTGCAGGTAAAATGCCTATTGCTTTAAGAATGAAGCTTTTATAGACAACCTTTTGGGCTAAAGTAACTGGAAACAGTGAAGATGGAAACAATAAGCTAATGTATGATGAGTGCTAGGAATTAAGTGGTCAATATATAGATCAAAACCTCAAAATACCTCATGTAAGTAGAGTTAAACCATGGACAAAGGATCTCAGTGAAAAGAAAAACCTGCAAGAGGTTAAAAATACATAGCTTTGGGAAAATGCATCATAATTGAAAAAGTATACCACCTGAGAGAGATATAGAACTGCATAATGAAATTAAAAAGAGGTAAGGGAGTGTTAAATGTACAAGATATAGCAAATCAATGTGCTTGTGATAAGTAGGGATGCTACTGCCAGATGTACACCAATAGTTCCAAAATGTAAGAACAGGAAGAGTGGGAACAGCATTCTGCATTCCTTCACTTGGAATCAAGACAACTGTAAGGCTATCAAATTTTGTATGTATTTTGTAGCTGAATGAGCAGGGATAATACTGGCATCGAACTAGGGCATAGATGTGTGCCCAGCCACTGTCTGATTGCTTATCAGGATTAGTGGCAGTCAAAAATGGCACTTCAGATAGCAGAAATAATACACGTAATGAAATGTTACTGTTGACAACAGAACTGATGCAGTTGGGTGTAATCATAGTAATAGCAAGGGTCCCAGCACATGTAGGGCTAGTGGGCAATGAGCTGGCAGACAAAGTAGCAAAACTGCTGTCAAGTACAAGGAAACTGATTTAGAGATTTCTTTGAATAAAGTGGAGTTCAAAAAAATCTCAAAAAGAGGAATGGCAAGAAGTAAGAGCAAAAGAAACAAAGTGGAAAATACAGATGTACTCCAAGACACAGACAAAAAGCGAAGGGAGCCTAGTTAGAACTTAAGTGACTATTTAAACTACAATGGCCAGTTAGTTTCTAAAAAAAAATAAAGATGGATTATGTGGGAGGTGCAAGGTCCCGGAAACAGTTGATTATCTTCTTTGGGAGTTCAAAGAGTGTACCATTGAAAGGGGGTATTTATATGAAAAATATAGACGCCTTAAAATACCTAAATTTTCACTGCAGATCCCAGTAAGAGCATCAGAAAAAGGGGCCCTATAAAAAAGCAATATTGCAATTCTTTAAGAATACTGGGGTCGGTGAGAAACTTTAATTATTGAATTATCTGTGGTGTCCAGTGCCTGGAGGTTATAGACTCTGGTTTGCCA